CAGGCAAAGCACTTCCCCCAAGGGGGGTAAACCCTCCACAATAAGCCACAGGTATCACTGCATAAACTATGTGAGTAAGGAGGGAATTTCCTTCCCCAACACCCAACGCAAATGCATTCCAGATTAACCTGGGCCGAAAAGGACAACACAAAAGCTAAGATACTGAACTTAACATGTAGGGAATGACTATCAACAGGTGTTTGCTAAAAACGAATTTAATAAATTCATAGCCTCCCACTTCATCAGAATTGGACTGCATTCTTTAAAAAGTTAAGACAGTTGCTTTCCTCTGATGCACAAATGAGTGCAAATGGGCTGTCCCCCATAAGAAATTCTTTTTTCCCCACAAATAAAATAAAGAATTACAAATGAACTATCCATGGAAAAAGATACAATGAAACATCAGGAAACAATTGGCAGTGTTAGTCAGAAGAACAAGCTTCCAAAATACTTTTTTTTTTTTTTAAATATCAGGAAGAGCATGTAGGTGTAGAAATGTGAAGATACAAGGATGTTAAATTATGAACATAAACTCTGAACTTACTGCACCAACCTTATTTCTACCCTCCTATTCAGTAGGTGAAATCTCACACATGCCAATTTCCTTTGTCAATTTTACAAGATTTCTTTATAAGTAAAAGTTACTAGAAGTTCACAGTACTTGCCTCTGACAAATGTTCAGATCGTACTACCAGTGTGAAGTATTTCCCATAACTAAAACCACAACTCCACTGAGTTCTATGGCAACAACAGAACGTTGCTCTTGCTTAAAATACACTTGAGCACTTCAACAGAGCAGCATAACTATGCATGCAGGATCACAACAATTAGTCACTTTCAACTTGTCACAACACATGCAGAAAGGCATAATTCATGTTTCATAAACTTGCAGTTTGGTATTTTGATGTTTTCTATGGAGAACATAGCATGGATTTCAAAATGTGGAAAGCATGGAGATATTTTGGGTATTTTAAATAGAAAAACATACATGAATCAATTTACTTTACCACTTCATAGGTCAAAAGGTATTAGGTTTCTTCCCTCAAGACACAAGAATGGCATGTGCACAGAAAGGCACGTCTGATTCTACTAACAAATGATAAAGAACTGTACCCTTATGAATGAAGGCGACAGAAACACAGTGAAGAGCTGGCACTTTTATGGCTCTCAAAGATGGAGAGTTTGTGAACTTAAGAGGACAGTAACTGGAAATAAAAGGACAAGCAAGAGGCTAGGCCTCAATAAAAACTTGCTTGTCAGAGAAACAAAAAGAAAACTTGATAATTGCCTCTCTGGAGAGTGCTGCTTTACCATTTCAAGCTAAGGAATCTTCATTTGAAAAAGTGATTGTTCACCAGCAAGCTTAAAATACCCAGGTTGCTAAATCAGGCAGCTAACCCAGAGTCAAGAACACCAGAGTTCAGGCCTTGTTAAAGAAAAAGGGGAAAAGAAAAAAAAAAAAAAAAAAGAAAAAAGTTAGGCCCAGGGCCAACTGTTAAAAAGCCACACTCGGAGAAGTAGTATAAAAGCCAGAGTTGTAATGCATACATAAAATCATTATTAATGGAATAGCCTTAATAAAATACTGACTAGAGTAGCCATGCAGAATCTACTCCAACCTTAATAAAGCCCAACAGCCAT